TTAATCTTTAAAAAAAAACTGTCACTGAGAAATATACCATTGGGACCAATTTCAGTCCCAATATTAGAAAGAGAATGGAAATTCCATTTGCATCATTTTCCTTAGACAAAGACTAACCTTCTTATTGTCTTTATTGCCTAGGAATCAAGAACTATTTGGTGACGAAGTTGAAGCTTTTATAGTGATGATGCAATACCAGATGCAGTAATTCTAGTAATTTTTATGGAGGAAATTCATTTCTTTATGTTTCTGAGTAATTAAAATGCCTTCTGCAATACTATTAACAGTTTTTTTCCTGTTTTCCTTCCTACCTTACTTCCTTCTGTGCTGTTTTTTTCCCTTTCTAGGGTATGACATTGACATGGGCAGAGAAGGAAACGAACTCCTTTTCCTTCTTTCATCTCAAACTCTTGGTAGCACCATTTCATTGTTCATCTGGTTAGCCTATGTAGAAATAGGGTTGGGTTTCTCGTTTGCATTTATGTGGTAATGATTTTTAGACTTATTTATAAAATAGGTGTTTAATCCATTGTTTTCCAGCACTAATATAGATTCTTCCCAAGGTTGCAAATAGCACACACTATAAAATGAACTGACATCATGTTTTAGATTTCAAATACTTTTGGCATGTTCTTACATTAACATCAAGTTCAGTTGAAGAGTGTCTCTGGACCATATGGAATAGATTTCGAGGAAAAGCAGAGTTTATATCACTTTAAAATAAGGGTAAACTATTTATATGGTATGTTTTGTGACTTTTGAACAATTGCAAAGGAATTTGTCACAATTTTGAATTGCAAAAGCATGAATTTTGGCTTAATCTTAGCCAACTGTGAAAGTAACCAAAAACACAAGTACAGTAATGTAGAGGACAGCTGAATCATTGCAAAAGTATGCAAATGAAATGGAAAATACTGTGTCTTGATCTACCTTCAAGCAGGACAGCCCACATGCTGTGTCTCAAAGTCACCATCTGTAAAGTTATTTCATTTCACAAAGAAGAACAGGGACCTTGTTAATAATACCTGCCCCTTACCAACCTCACTAGGATGTTGTGAGGATGAATTAATGTCTGTGAAGCACTTTGAGCCCCTTAGAAGGAATGTACTATGTAAATACAAGATATTATTATTCCTCTTGTACTTGGTGTCTCTTTTAATTGATCATTGTTTATTATTTATATAATTATTCTTTCTTGTTAAAAATAGTCTAAAATAGTAAAAATCAAAGTCATTTCACAGAGAAATGTATTTATCTTAAATGGAAAGTCTTATAAAGAAAATATGTAAGTTGTTTGATTAGATCTAGAAGGAAAATTGATTTTCTTGAGTGTACCTTGAATGGAAGATAGCATCTGATCATTTTAAAGATGATACAAAATAGGTTGCAAAAATAATGTAGCAATTGGGATATTCCCTTCTGTGCTCAAAAGAAAATCATGCTATTATTTTCCCCAATACTTAGTTCTTATTTTTATATAATTATTCAAATATATAATCTATGGAACATGAATTTACTAACATTTTTGGAATCCAGTGCTGCTTCAAGTATTGGTGGCCAAACTACACACACACACACACACACACACACACACACGTACATACACCAGATGTACAATTCTATCCCTTACAGGGATAAAAGCTTACATTCTTATAGAGTATGAAATAGTATAA